TGAAGATAAGAGGGAATCAACCATTCTTATCTGAAAACAGAGGTCCTGAAGCCTATAAATACAGCCCCAGGGCCTTTATTTTTTTAGGATCTGGAATTCTCGAGCGTTGGCGAAGCCCTGCCGAATTGAGGACTAAAGAGCCATGAATTTCAGAGAGGAGGAGGAGACTTCAGCAAATTCTTTGGCATAAAGAAGAGGAGTTCGTCAGATCTACAGCCCGACTCGTCCCTTAAGATTACCCCATTACGGTGATCTTAAGAAGAGCAATTATCTCGCTGTTGCCGAGATAAGCGTTACGGCTTCTTGATTTCTTCACGAATCAACGAAGCTCCGGATCTGATCTGATCATTTGGTAGTCCACGGATATCAATGTCCCCGTCACAGGCCAAGATCCCATGCAAGTAGAAGACCAATAAACAATCTCTGCGCTGTTTGACGAGAATTGTATTTCATTATGTAAAAGTCTTATAAAAAGACTATCTTTTTGTATTTTTATTATAACGACTGAAGTTGTAATGAGTACCTCAATGAAGAAACCAATTTTCTCCCCAAACAGGGATAAGGTCTGGATCTACCAGCTACGGAAATTCCATTTTAAAGTGTCGTCATTGCTACTGGAGAGTCTATACGGCAAGTACGACATCCCTAGGGCGTTTGTCCTAACCGCGTGGTGTGTACATACATGGTGTACGACCACGGCGATAGCATCGCTCTGGTGTACCTCAAACACTTGGAGTATGGGCTGCACCACTGCATTCTTTTCTCCGTCGTGTCTTCCAAACCTTGGGCATATTGCCATCGTAGATGAAGCCGGACTCCATTGCCACTTTGGTGGGGTTTGTCGTTATCTACCACTGGTTAGGAATCAACCAAACCTTAAGAATTCACATCCACCTCGTCTGTGTGAGGGTGAACCAGCATGAGGGCTACTATTACCTCTAAGTCTTAGGAGGAAACAAGATTGTCTCCAACACTTTTGAGTCCAATAAGTACTAGAAGGAGATGTTTGTGTGGTGTCTAGGGACGAATCCTTCCTGACTTGCTCTAATTGGCCCGAGATCAAGGAGTATGCCCTGAGGCCTAGGCTGCTGTCAAGCGACGAGAAGCGTGTGGTTGACATGATAAGGGATTATACCGGCTTCACTAGTTTAAGAATATCTTTGACAACTCGGTCCTATAGGTTGTTAGCATCTCCTCAGTTCGCCCAGGTGTGGATGTTGAAGCTCGTTTAGCCATGCTGTTGCTAGGCATGGATAAGACTGAGGTGGTGCCAATGGCCCCGCCTACTCAGACTCAGGGACGGCCCTAAATGAGGTGGAAGAAGTGCCTTCGCTTTGATCTAGCTTCTAAGGAGGTTGAGGAGGTCTGTTCTTGATTGGTCGGACCAAGTGCTGTTCTGACCCAGACCATAGCCACTTGATTGGTCGAACCAAGTGCTGTTATGACCCAGACCAAGAGGGCCGAAAGAAGAAGAGCTTAAAAAAAGTGGGTAGCTGAGGCCCCAAAAAGATGGTTGAAGCTGCTAATGACATTGGTGCATCCTCTACTGCTGAAGAGGATGCCATAAGCCAGCCTCTAGTGGAGATATTACCTCCTCGGGTAGTGGGGGAGGCGACGCTGCTATCCTCTTGGCTTCAAAAGCCAAAATCATCATTGTTGACGATAGGTCCCCTGCCAGAGTAGAGGGTCCTGAGATCCATATAACGAAGGTTGAAGAGGCTGAGGTCCCAGCAAAGGTCGAGATGGCCACTGATACACCTGCCTAACCAGCCTATCGATAGGGGAAAGAGCTGGCCGCTGAGGGGGAACCTTACTCAAGGGTTCAGATGGTCGTATCTCTATCACATCGATGAACTTGAGGTGGAGCAGTGAGACATGCTGAGGATGTTATTGATGGGGTCTTCCAGAGTCGGTCCCCACTATGATAAGGAGCCATCACAAGAATTTAGGTTCGAACCCAGGTGACATCTCGACAAGGGGGTCTGTTCTTGAGACGTGACTCACCTATACCTGAGCAATCAAGAAATTCTACCTCCCTTGTGATGACGAGATCCTCGGGGAGATGCCGGATGTTGGCCTTCACCAGTGCCTAAAGGGCTATATAATCGAATGAGCTCTGGTGGAAAAGGAGCTATTCAGCCACTGTGAGTGAGTCTGAATCTCCTATCTTAGACTTCAAGAGGAGTTGGAGGTCTAGAAGGCTAACCTCAAGAAAGCTCTCCTCGTGCTAGCTGCCAAGGAGGATGAACTGGCCATCTGGAGGAGAGGCGAGGATAAATAGCGCCGGGAGGTGGAGATACAGGAGAAGATGATCGATGGTCTGAAGACTTTGAATAGCAAGAAGTCAACCAAGATCAACCAGCTCAAGAGGACCTTGTCCATCTTGAACACGAGCTGCTTGAACGGAATGACATGATAAAATATATGTCCAAGGTGGTCGAAGCCGAGAAGAGATAGAGGAATGATACCTATGAGCGGGCTTTATCGGATCGACTGGCTATCCAGAGCCTACTGATCGGGCTGAAGAAGGAGCACATAGCTCACAAAAGGCTCAAGCAAGAGAGCACTCGTGCTGTGCTAGAGTCTATGTGGCAGCATGAGTCATCCCTTGCTGAGATCCATGCACTACAAGCCCGCCTCCCTCATTTGGAGTCTGAGGCCCATTGGTTGGAAGTTGTTGAAGGCTATTGCCACAGTATTCTGGGAAAGGTGTGAAGGACCCTAGAGGGGGGGTGATTAGGGTCAAGAGGCTCTAATATGCAATTAAAATTCAGTACAAACAAACCACAGATAACAGAAGTGCAATCAATAAAGAGAGATAACAGTTTTAGGAATCGTTATATCCTTGGACGCGCAGATGTGTTAACGAGAGGTTCGCCCCGCTGACGCTACGGTCCCTCACTCCCCAGCTCTCGAGGAGAAACTCCACTACACCATCCAAGGTTGAAGCCCGAACTTGCGTCTACACAAAACTGATCCCACAAGATCTCCTCTCCCCTCCACTACATTAGTTGATTCACAGATAACACTCCCTCAACAGTCGATCTACACAAGATCTCACTCCACCAGGCGCCGCAATGATAAATGGCAAGACACTCTCTTTACACAAGCCCCTATTCAGCAAAGAGAAGAGTACTGAAGCTGGGAAGTGAAACACAC